GATTTTCCAGTTGCTCCAACCAGTGCTTCATCGCCTGTTAGTTACAAGTTTTTTCGCTTTGTTTTAAACAAATGAAAACAGGGAGGGCGAAATCAGATATGGGAACCAGCTGTCTACAGCTAGACGGGGCAGAGCTGTGTGCAGCGCGAGCTGAAGGAAGGAGCGGAAGCACTATAGCGCAGAAGAACTGAGCGACCCTGTACAAGTAACGAGCCAGTCTGGAATGTGTGCATGCGGCGCTCTACCATGCTGTCTTAATTCAGTACAAAATGAAGATGCAGAAGTCTTATCAATACCAAACAAATCATTTTTATATCACGAGGGCGGCTCCAGTCCAAGGAGGGGCTCTGCATATCACAACTGGGAGCATAGACCAGTTAGGATACGGAGGTGGTGCAACACAAAATAATGTATTTTATAGTGAACGAAAATTTTCAAAAATCCAAACCCTCTTTGTTTCTACAAGCGATAATTCCAAGCATTTTCGATGCCTCGATTTCGGTCGCCTTTTTTTCGTCACGTTAACTCCAATAACTCGAGCAATCAACTTCTCACCAGGCTCAAAATCGATATCAATCAGAGCCGATGTCTGATCCGTTGGATTAGATAACTGAAAAAAAATTCCTTAAATAGTAAACGCATCAAGAAAAAAGCGTTGGCGAATTACTCCCATTCATGAAGACGAGGATTCGAACCGCCACTAGGACAACCAATCTTTCTACGATTCGCTCATTCGCTCCCTTCCAGTTCATACTGTTTGCAAAAGGCGCCCCGCCCGTGAGGTGGCAAGCTTCGCATCATTATCCTCCTCCTGGAACAAACTCCAGCATTCTATGCTTCTGAAGGAAAAATTTCAGAAGTGTTGTGTCTTGGGTCGATTTTGCAGTCATCCACTTCATCTATACGTGGTCCTTCAAAGTTTCTATTAGTGGCCGCCGCGAGTAAAAAAACTATTTCCGAAAATAAATTATAAAAGCAGCAGTTTTTGAATGTAAAAAATCCAACTAAGCGGTTCTCCATGAAAAACTAGGGACCGGCCAATGCGGAAATCCAGCGATAAATCCAAAAAAAAAAGCCATTTACTCATCACTACCTCTCTTGTTGACTTTCTTGAGCCTATAAAAGGAAAAAAACATGCCAGATTCTCGTCACGCAAATTCTGTTTCCGTATGACGCCGTTCCATAATGGCGATGCTTCCACTCTGACAACGCCAATATGTGGTCCCTTGCAAACAAAAACGGGAATCAAAGAGCCCTGCATATATGTTTGTGGATAATTCATCAGTGATTGTTTCTTTTTCGTTTCCTTCAGTTTTGATGACTTCATTGTGCATTCCGCCACACGTAACACCTAAAAAACGCAATAAAAATTACTTATATAATGCACTTTCTCCTTAGCAGCGAAGAAAATTAATGCGTGAAGCAAACAGATTTGTGCAGAATTTTCTACCTATTTCTTCCGTGGCTTCTATTCTATAAGTGACTTCATGATCTAAGTGTGGCAGTGTTCGGACTACGTGTGGGAGCTGAATTTGAAACCTTGGAGTATCATTCCAAAATTTCAATCTCCTAATTTTCTGGCTTTCGAGTGATTTTTGCGCAAAACTTTGATGTGGTTGTACGTGAGTGTAGCAGTGGCCAAAGAAAGTGGAGAAGTTGCCAGCTTCATGGTTAAAAAAACCAGTTTATGAAGGCGAAAGAGAATCGAACTTCTTATCCACACCATCTGCCCATCCTTCGAATCACTTTTTTACACTACCGACTCCATTATTTTACACAAAACGATTGAAGAATATGAATCTCGTATGGCATACACACTGTAATATATAGTGGCGCCGCATAACCACCACACTTCTCCCATTTTCATTGGCTTTTCGCAAGAATCTGCAGTGCCTCTAACTCCTCATCTGTTTTATATAAAGAAAATACCAGAAAATGACTGGTGTTAGGAAAAAATGAACGCACCACGGTCGATTTCACTTCTTTTTTAGCTTCTGTTGTTGTCGGAAGAACCTTTGTAGTCCTCGTTTCTTTTATTCTCGTGAAGCAAACAACTTTAACGGTCACTGTTTTGCCTTCGTATTTTTGCAGGAAGTTTCGAGCAGGCTGTGACGATTCTTCCAGGAAGTGCTCGTCAAATTCACATGCGTGTAAACGACCTGAAATACCACCACTTTGAGAGACACGGGAAAATCCTTGTTTTTCTACCCTATCACCTTCTCCTCAGAGGTACGCAAAGCTGCTATAACTCAACAAGAATAGCCCTTAATACTATAAATTTTCTAGTTGCCCTCAAAAATAAAGAAATATTAGGCTGATACTCAGAATTTCATGTATGAAGTTTCTTCACTAAGAAAGAAAGGGTCAATTTCGACAGACCGAAAACTCAAACTTTAAAGATTAAGTACGGGTTCAAGAAATTTGTCCCACCAATCAATGTTTTACAAAACCCCTCCTCCTCTTCCTTGTCCTCCTTCCCCCTTCC